TAGATGTATCTATCTATCAGTCAACCTTCACTGAGATAGATACATAGATAGATGTATCCATTCATCAGTTAACCTTGGTTGACCTGGTGCCTTGGCTATTGAGCAGTGTTACAGTAAAAATGAAGTACAGATATTTCTTGACATACATGTTTCTTTTTCTTGAATGTATATCCAGCTGCAGAATTTCTGTATCCCTGAGGTAGTTTTATCTTTGGTCATCAGTAATCTATTATTATGTACAAAACACTCATTTAAGTGTCAGTCGCTAGTGTAGGAGAGTTCTCCTTTCTCTACATCCTCAGCAGAGGTCTTATTCATTGATCATACTCATTCTGACTGGAGTCAGGCACTATCTCACTGTGGCTTTGTATTTCTCTGATGATTAGGGATGTTGTTTGTCTCACGTACTTGTTGGCCATTTGGAAAAATATCAATGCCTATTGTTTGGCCATTTTAAAATCCGATTATTCAGTCCCTCCTCCCTATGGAGTTGTTCAGCTATCCCCCTGCCAATCAATCCTTGACATATTTCCTCCCTTTTTGTGGCCTTTTTTTTTTTTTTTTTTTTTCACTTTACAGCTCATTGTCACTTTCAAGTGATCCCACCCACGGCCCTCTCTCTCTGTGGAGCTTCATGTCCTTCACACTGAAGAAGGGCAGACTCTTGCTCTGTTGGGTCCCACAGAGGAATTGGGATGGTGGCCAAAGCTGGTGGCCCACTGTCTGAAGGACCTTCGAGAGACACAGGCCACCCATCACCTGGCATCCAGTCAGAATTCCAGGTGGCAACAGTGAGTCCCTGGTGCCCTTCCTCAGTGCCCTTTGCTTCTTGGTGGGTCACAGCATAACTCCATGACAGCACCCAGGCTGTGCCGCCTTGATGCATCCTGTTTTTTAAGTGAGGAGAAGGAGACGTGAACAGGAGAAGTGCATGTTAGGAGGTAGCCTACTGCTTTAAATGCAAAGGAAAGGGGTGGCTGGGACCTGACTGTTAGGAGTCCAGCCAGACCCACGGCTGCTGCTCACAGTGTAAAGCGAAGGCGCACAACTCAGACAAGTGTGGAACTGCGTGCACGTAGCTGTTCGTCATCCTATCTCCCCCTTTTTTCCAAAATGGGAGCATTCATACCTCTACATCGTTCAGAAGCCTGTGGTCTATTAAATATCTTGACATCTATTTTATAAGCATATGAAATCATCAGTGCCTCCTGCAAAATAAAAGTAAAATAAAATGAAGTCTTGCCTGTGAATAGATTTAATTCACAGCGGTCACGAGACGCAGAACTCTTACAGACCTGACAACATAGTAAAGTTAGCCTGAACTTGAAAGTTCAGTCTCATTTCCGGCTGCACCACTTACTGCTCGCACATCCCAGGGAGTCACTTAACTTTTCTGGGCTGGAGTGTTCTTTCCACAAAGGAGGAGAGGAGCTGGGCAGCTGATGCTTAAAAGGGAAAGCAGTTTCTAGAGGCTCAGCCCCAGACAGACTGACCTCATGGGTGGGAGGTGGAGCCCAAGTCCTGGAAAAGCACCTATTTTTTCTTTATTGTTAAAATTTATTTATTTTTACTCTATGTACATTAGTGTTTTGCCTGCATGTATGTCTGTGTGTCAGATCCTGGAGTTACAGATGGTTGTGAGCTGCTACGTGGGTGCTGGGAACTGAAACAGGCTCCTCTGGAAGAGCACTTAGTGCTTCTAACCACTGAGCCATCTCTCCAGGCCCATGCACTGATCTTTTCAAAGCTTTCTTGTAGACTTAGACTTATTAAAATTCTTAAATGCCTTTACCTCCCTTCCACCACCACTCCCATCTTAGATGTGAGATTAGTAGGGAAAGGGGCTGTAGCCCTCTTTTATCTACTTCCTGCGGATAAGGGTTGATGGGTCCTTTGGGGATTACCTACCAAACTAAGTCATCAGGATACGAACAGTCTAGTCAAACAGCAAAGTAACAGCAACAACACCCAGCAGCAGCAGAATGAGGTGGCTAGACTCTGCCCAATTGGCAAAACCCCATCAAGCAGCCTGAGAAGTTCTCTGGATCACGTCTCTCTTTGAAGACCTGGGAGGGATGTGAACCATAGCAATGCAGAAAGCATTGTCTCACCATCTGTGGCCTTCTAGTTAACCCTTCTCAGAGTCCATACAAGGATGTTTTGCAGCTCACAAAAACCACTCCCTTTGGAGGAGGTAGCTTTCAGCTGACCAACATCGCACACCCTCTCACAGGGGCCGTTTTCTGAAAGGGAAAAAAAAAAAAAACAAAACAGAAAACAGATTCACAGGACACAACTGACTTTCCAAAGAAACCAGAAACTTACTGAAGAGATTCCTTAAAAAAAAAAAAAAAAAAGGGCATATGTGTGTATGCCTGCTAACACATTCCTCTTGCTTATGAAATCAGCTTTCTTCTTCTACCTTCCTGGTGTGGACAGGGAGGCTCAAGAGTAGACAGAGCTCAGATGGTCTAGCCTGCGGGTAGCAACTCCCTTCACCAGCTCAGCTATGTTGAGTGTTTCCACTGAGAGCCTCACATACAGCTAAGGATGAAAGCTGCTCAGATGCCTTGCACACTCACTTGGTTGTTTTGGTTTGGGATTTTTAAATATCTCTATCCCCGAGAGACTGGTCAAAATTGCAGAAGTCTGGGGAATATAAAACATCTAGTTCACCTCCAACTGTGAGCAGTCCACAGGAAATGGGCAGCCAAAGGGTTGCTTCTCACTTTAGTTTGAAAAGAAAGAAAGAAATATTCAGTCCTTTTAGGAGTCTTGAACTAGAAAGGTGGTAAGAAGTTTAGCCTAAGCCTCACTCATAAACCATAGGAACTCCCAGTGGGTTAGGGATTTATATCTGGGGGTGTTTCCAAGATTTTGTCCTCCCAAGAGATATAAATGAAAGCCTTGAGAGTTTAACATAGGGAGGGAAAACTGTTCTCACAACAGTGCTTTAAACATCCAGGCTCCACTAATGTGGGGAGGGGCCTAGGAAAGCAAGGCCTAGGGTAGCAGGGGTGGTATGGGTTGGGGCAGACTCTGGTCTCTCCGCTTAGGTTTCCAGAAACCAACTTGAGGTCATCCAGAGCCTTCTTTTTCCCCATAGGTTTATGGTATTAGTTACCCAATAAAAGTTGGGTTAATTTTACAACCCAGGTAAGATTTAAGCCAAAAAAGGCTTCACTGTTACTGTAGGATTTATGAAAGTAAACACGTGGGGTGCATGGGGGGACTGCACATCCCCTGAGTCTCGGGTCTTTCTCTGTCAGGTGGATGGTGTGTCCCTTTGTGCATGTGTTTGATGGTTCCGTTTTCAAGGCTTTGCTGTACAAACTCTCTCAGGATAAAACCGAAGACGCCGTATCCATTTACTCCAAATTGATTCATTTAGAGAATTAATGTAGGAAGCTGCAGAGAGTAAGCATCCTGTCCCATGGCCTTTCACTCATTTGGCAGCTACCCTAAGCCTGCTCGTCTCCTGAGCATATGAAACCGATAGGTGAAGCAGTCCAGTGCCATAGCTCTACTCCACGGCCATAGTAAAGGGAAAAAAAAGTGCTTAGTAAATGTGCTCTGGAATCACTGTAAATAGGTTAGTGACAATAATATGCCATCTCTGCTGTCTCAAGGGACTTCCATAGCAGCTAGTCATGGTAGTACACACCTGTAGCTCCCAGTCACTTGAGAGACCGAGGCAGAGCTATTATAAGTTCAAAGTCAGGCTGGACGACATAGTAAGACTGGTTATAAAGATGAAACAAATGTGTCGGGGGACGTAGCTCAGTGGTAAGGACTACCTGCCTTGTATGAGGCCCTGGTTCCATCTCCAACACTGCTAAATGAACACACAAACAAATAATAAGCTTTTATATCATTTGATGGAATCACCTGGCTTATACCTATATATAAAACGGTCGATCATGACCTCTGTTTTAGAGGCAAGAATGATATAATGCACAAAGAGTATTTTGGTACCCTTTCTTTAACTTAGAAGCCAAAAAAAAAAAGGCAAATGGCTTTGCATGGAGATGGGTTGTTGACATTGGCCAGAAGAACTGGTGTCAAGGTGAACTCGCAAGTATAGCAGGAAGTCTTCAGTGTGGCCCAGATCTGTTGTCCCATGATCTGGTTCTGCCTTGCATGTCTCCTGCATCCCCTCTGAGGGCTTTTGTGGGAAAGAGTGTCAATCTCGAATCCTGGTCCTCTGCCCCATCACTTGTGGCAGTAGAGCTTCCTTGCCATCGTCTGGTGTCCCAGATTTCGTCTTCAAGACGAAATCTGCTCCCCTTCCTTATTTATTATTATAATTTGAAAGCAGCAAAATCCTCATGGCTTTTTTTTTAAGGGTCCTAGACGTAAGCTTTTTATTGATATTTTCCTCAGCGTTCCTTGGATTTGGTAGCTGTTCTCAAACCCTTTGGTCGGTGGCTTGCTCTGACCTCTCTTCCAGGTAGACAGGACAAGTCTTACCCAGTGAGGAGCTGTAAGATTCCACTGTCTTCCCTTCCTCCCAGCTGTAGCAGCTTCCTATGCTGTGGATCCTAATTGACATGTCAGTTGGTGTGGATCTTGCGGCTAATGTGCCCACGCCTCTGTAGCAAATGGAGCAGAAAAAAAATCTGCACTCGGAAAACAAACAAACAGAAAAACTGTAGAGCATGTGCCCAGATTTCCAGCTTGCTTCCTCTTCCCTCTTAGGGCTACATCATCTTCCAGCTCACCACCAGCTGCAAAAATAAAAGTTCTTTCCCATATTTAAGGATGATTTTGTGCTTCGGGATGATTTTTCTGGGGGCGTAGGAAACTTGACCAATGTGACCAACAGATGTTTTAAGGGATGTTTGGGAACTGAATATTTTCATTAAAAAAAGAGTCTGTAAAGTAGTCTTCGTTATAAGGTGCCCAACTCCGCCCTCTCGTGACCATTTGGAGCATTGCTCAACTAGAATGGATGGTATGGGGGTAGTTCTGTGCTAACAATCACTGTGTTTTGCTTGTAGAGATGAGTATGAAGAAGATGGGTTCTGTCAGCCATACAGAGGCATTGCGTGTGCACGTTTTATTGGCAACCGCACCGTGTATATGGAGTCTTTGCACATGCAGGGTGAAATAGAAAATCAGATCACAGGTAGGTACCATCAAAGACATGATACTTACGCCTTTCATAACCATTTTTCTTGCCAGGAGTTTTTTTTTTGTTTTGTTTTGTTTTGTTTTTTTTTTTTTTTTTTTTTTCTGGGCTTCTTTCCTGACAGAGAATTAGGCTAAGCTTGTGGTTGGGAGTGGGACCATAAAGAGGCATGAGATGTGATCTCTGTGCTCTGGAATTTACATTAAAATAATTTATTAGAGGTTAGTCTTGGAGGAAAAGGAAGCTTCGAGAAGTCTCACATTCATGCAAACACTCAATAAATATCCCTGCGCGCCTTCAGCGTGCCAGGACTAGACTGGACACTTGGGAGGTTAGGAGGGTGTGAATGAGCCAGGTGTGTCCACGCCCTCGCAGAGCTCACCTTTGGAAGCCAGCCCTGTGGTGAAGACGAGGGAGGAGTGAGCTTGGACTAGAACGTTAACCCCGAGCTGTTGTTACAGAGACTTCAGGAAACTGCTGCTCTCTGTGAGCGCCCCCACCCCCCCCCCCGGGGGGCCTTCCCAAACCCTTGGGGGGGGGGGGAGGCAGGCCACCATGCACCATTTTGCATCTAATTACGGTCGGCCATGGCATTATCATGCCCCCCTTCAGTAGCACAGCGGCCATCCTCTGGGTTAAAATGACCTCAGCAAGAATCCCAAAAAAACAAAGCTGCCAAATTTAGCAAATGCAAACGCCAGACACAGGTACCCAGTTACATCCGAATTTTGAGATGAATGGCAAATTGTTTTTCAGTATAACTGTATCCCACAAGTCTTCCTCCGAAGGGCGCGTGTAACCGTTATCTTTAACTTGAGGATTTTAAGAGAGACATATGCAAATCCACAACAGAGAGGCCCAGAAACTGTTCTCTGAGCAACCTGACAGAACCGAGAAATGGCTGGGGGTAACTGCTGAACCAAAAACAAGGGTGGAAAGGTGAAGCTGCCTTCTGCCGGAGCCCTGGGGTTTTGAGAACAAGAGCAGACTACAGGCCTGACAGGGACGAGCCGCTGAAACCACGGTTTCCACCCAGTATACGAGCATTCGGGCCAACTTTAAAATACGGATCCACATTAAATAAATGGTGTCCTGATATAAATATTTGGTAAACAATCTATAATAGCCCTCTCTCGGATCTCTTCAGTGGGTTATCGGCTTGCTGGAGAGTATCACAGCTCCGTTTTGTTTTTGAAAGCCTCACTTCATTTTGTTTGACCCAATACTTCCCAGACGTGTTGGCCTCTGTGGCCCTTCTCAGAAACCATTAATATGCTGTTCGCTTCATGTCCCGAGGAACGTGCTATGGGAAACTGTAAATGGCCTCGGAGGTGGCCTACGGGGCTGGTGCTCTTTTGGTATAGATGCCCTCCTATACGGTGTGAGGTGAGGTGAAGAGACCCCTGAGATCCTATGAGGCATACTGCGACAATTGGATTGTGGTCTTCTGATGCATAGCCTCATTCTCTGAAGATGGAATACAAAGTATTCAAGCCACAGTGAAATGAAGCGAGTGGCCCAAAGCCGCCGAGCAGCTCTTGCCATCTGGCAATACAGTTCTCTGCTCTGCTCCAGCCTTGCCTGAAACAGGCTCTGACCTGGGGCTGTCTAAAAGCCTCAGAAAATTAACAATAATGATGATGATGATAAAAGAACAGGGTGAAACACAAAGTTCTATTGCTCTATAGAGAGAAAAAAAATTATACATACATATATATATATATTGTGCTTTAACCTAATTAATTCTTTTTATTAGGAAATGGTACATGTGTAACTCAATCCTGTTTTTCTAACTTTGTAGTCAAAATGATTTTTTTTTTCAAGCTAGTGAAAGTGAGCTGCTTAGACATCTGAAATGAATCTCCTCCCCTTGGCCTTGTGGGCTTCAGCCCAGCAGATTCCCCGCAGTGGGTTTCCCCCCAGTATCTGTTGACTGGATGGCAGCAGAGATAAACCCTGGCCCCTGGGAGTTCATAACTCTGTTTGTTTTTCAGCTGCCTTCACCATGATTGGCACCTCCAGCCATCTGTCTGACAAGTGCTCTCAGTTCGCCATCCCCTCCCTGTGCCACTACGCCTTTCCGTACTGTGACGAGACCTCCTCTGTCCCGAAGCCCCGCGACCTGTGCCGTGACGAATGTGAAGTCCTGGAAAATGTCCTGTGTCAGACAGAGTACATTTTTGCCAGGTCAAATCCCATGATTTTGATGAGGCTGAAGTTGCCAAACTGTGAGGATCTCCCCCAGCCGGAGAGCCCGGAAGCCGCGAACTGCATACGGATTGGCATCCCCATGGCGGATCCTATCAACAAAAGTAAGTGACAGCTCTGACCTGACACACAGTGACGGCTCACCCTGGGACAGACAGCGACTGAGCCCGCTGATCACTAACCGCCTCCGGTGAGTTAGTACGGCGCCTGAGCATTCCGTGGTAGATTAGGCAGAACTGCCTCGGAAAAGCTTCATCAAGACAAATGAAAAACAGAGGATCTGGTTTCTCGATAGCTTAAACCCAGAATTACCGTATGACCCAGCAATTCCACCCCTGGTATGTAACCGGAAGAATTAGAAGCAGCTCTTCAAATGGACGTGAGAGAGTCCACAGTATGGACTGGAGAGGTTACCTGCTGTTAAGAGCATGAGCTGCTCTGGCAAGGGACCCTGGTTCAGTTCCTGGCACCCACGCGGCAGCTCACAGCTGTCCTTAGCTCCAGGTCCAGGGGGTCCAATGCCCTCTTCTGGGTCCATAGGCACCAGGCATGAATGTGCCACACACATGGACATGTAGGCAAAACACACATACACATAAAAATAAATACTTTTTTAAAAGAATGTTCATTAGAACTCTTCACAGGAGGGATTGGCGGATATGGCTTACTCCGTAGAATGCTTGGCGAGCATACACAAAGCCCTGGATTCATCCCCAGCTTTACATAAACTGAGCCATGTATGTCTGTAATCCCTGCACTCAAGAAACGGGGCCACTAGGATCGGCAGTTCAAAGCCATCCTTCTCCATATCGTGAGTCTGTGAGTTTGGGACTAGCCTGGGATACTAGAGCCAACAAACAGTGGTAAATACACATTTTGAAATATCATGTGTAAAAGGGAATGGAATGGAGGCATGTGCTACAACTGGGTGAAAATTGAAAATATGATTATACTGAGCACAAGAGCCAGTTTATGATCCCTGTTACATGCGGTGTGCAGAATGGACAGGTCCAGTAAGACATGAGGCAGATTTGTGGTCCAGAGGCTGTGGTGGGGCAAGGAGATTGCCTAATGAATATGGAGTTCAATTTGGGGATGGTAGGAGTTTTGCAAAAAGTAATAAAGCTGTACAGCCTTGGGAACGTGCCAAGTATGCTCAGGTCCAGTGGGAGCCTGCATTTCCACAGGCCGCCCACTCCACCAGCACAAACAGCCCCAGCTCCCACACGAAACACAGGCTGCGCTGTGCTGCCCCTCTTTCTGTGAGTTACCTGTAGAGTCTTTAATCGCACAGTTTCTAGGATGCCTTGAATCTCACCCGAGCCATGCGCTCCTGAATGGTAAGAAATTCCCCCTGTGTCCCAGGGCCTTCCCCACTGGGCATTTCTTCCATATTCCCCATTTAAAAACAAACAAACAAAAAAACCTGCAGAGGCTCATTTTATCCCTGAAGCATCAGCTTTAAATCCTCCCTGGAATGTGAGTCCAAGGCAGGCCCTGAGTCCAAGGCTAGCAAACAGGGAGAATGGCCCATGCGGGCCTGGAGACCTGCAAGGGCCGTAGCCTGCCCCTCCCCCAACCCAAACCGCTGCCAAGGAGGACGAGTCCCCTCCGTTTCTTGCTAACAGTCTGGGCTTTTCTTTCATGTTTTTCAGATCACAAGTGCTACAACAGCACAGGCGTGGACTACCGGGGAACTGTCAGTGTGACCAAATCAGGGCGCCAGTGCCAGCCGTGGAACTCGCAGTACCCCCACACCCACAGCTTCACGGCCCTCCGCTTTCCGGAGCTCAACGGAGGCCACTCCTACTGCCGCAACCCTGGCAACCAGAAGGAAGCTCCCTGGTGCTTTACCTTGGATGAGAACTTTAAGTTTGACCTGTGCGACATCCCAGCGTGTGGTAAGTAGAGATCATTGGCTCTGATGCACTTTCAAATGGCCTGGCGCCCAGGTAGGAGAAGGCCTCCGAGGAGAGTGGAGTTTGGTTGAATTTCTCCATCATATGTAAGCCCGCGTTCCCGCAGGCGCCAGTGCCTCTCTCAAGGAGCACCTGTCGTCACTGCACTGCGGTGACTGCCCTCCAGAGGCATGGGATTCAGACAGCCCCAGTCCCGTCACAGTCATCCCTGTGGAAAAAGGCGTTTTCCCAGGAAGTCCATAGACATAGGACCCTTTTCTTGGCACACCGGTGGGTTGGAAACGAGAAAATTGTTCTGTCTCACTGAAATCACCCACGAAGTAGGGTGCCTCTGCTGTCGTTGTTCAGTCACCCGGGGCAGTCTACTAAATTGGGATCTTTGTCCTGGCCACTAACAGTGCAGAAGAGGAAAGCTGTCTGGAAGAGAAATGGGGTTCTGTCCGTTTGTTCACGTCCACTGAATGGTTATAAAATGTGAGCAAGGATGGCAATGTCCAAGCAAACAAAATGAGCACTCACCCAAAACAGGTTAGTCAGAAGGAGCTGGGTGTCTGAGCAGATGACAGTCCAAGTCACTCGTCAGAGGCATTAGTTATAAACCCATTATGTGCTTACCAGGGAATAAGATGAGGCAGGGCCCTGAGAGTGACCTAGCACACCCCAAAAGAACGAGGAGTGAGTCTCAGAGCAAGGAAGAGCGATAGATGAGGTCCCAATGGTAATAGTCCCAGAGGGCTGGTGAGCTGGAGGCGTCTGGGATGGTAGCCTGGTGCTGAGCGTATGGGCAAGCATTGAAGTGTTCTGAGCAGAAGGCTGGCATCCCAGCTTGTTGAAACAGAGGAACGTTGGCAGGAAGAGAGGTGGAAGAGGCAGTGGCCTGTGGGGAGGTTCAGGGTGTGTTTGGAAACTGTGATAATAGAGTCACTGATGGATCAGATGTGGGGTACAAGAGAAAACTCCAGGGTGACTCCAGAGCTTCTGCCTTAGCTTCTTTGCAAAGAAGAAGAAAAAGAACTTTGGTGGGACCTGGACCAAATACTACTACTAAGAAATACATCATTTGTTCCATCTGGATGAACAATGTCTTACTCTTTAGATGAATTACTGTTTTTGAGACAGGGTCTTGCTATGTGGTGTAGGCTGGCTTTGAACTCATGAAATCACTACCTCATCTGAGTGCAGGGAGTTTTTCAATCATGCACAACCAACCCTGACTTTGATGTGTGGTTTTGAGTGTCCAGCTAATGCTGTTCAGAAGTAGAAAAGTCAATTGCCCTTAAACTGGAAGACTTATCTATGATCTGATCCAAGGACTCAAGAGCTATTATGATATATCATATTGTTTATATCTGTAGAGCACCTACTGTTTACCTTTAGGATGCTTGGCACTTGATGACTTCATCTCCCTTTAGAGCTCATTACCATCACATGGAGAAGGTGGTTTTGGTATGTGCCACTGAGGTTCTGTAGGGTCTTTGTGTGTATCACAGAGCCAGATGCTAGACCTGAAACCCTCATCTCTGCCTTGTAGCACTGACCAAACTCAAGGTTGTGCTCTTAGGACAGGCATTCCACTGTTACGTACCTAAAAGTCTTATGACAAATGCAATTTAAGAAAAGTCAAGAACCACAGTAGGCTCAATCTCTGCACTCCGCTGCGGGTTCTAGACTTTACTGAGGAAGGATGCTATCACAGTGCCTCATCATTTTTGTGGTATTAGTCAGCGATGCAGGAAGGGCACCGATGATTATTTCTTTCTTGATGTCAACTTGCAGGCAGCCAAGTCACAACTCTTGGGACTGGTTAATTCTTATCTATGAGCGGTAAATTTATGTGAGCATTTAATCTAGAAGACAGACCATTTTTTGCCACTTAGGATTTCCATTTTGAAAGAGCATGGTACCTCTTGAACTCTTTGAGCCAAGCTACATACACACCCATTAAAGGAACAGGCAAATCTGTGGCATGGGACCAATAAAAAGCTGCTGAGGTACAGCTGCTCCCTAGTGTGGAAATCAGAAGAAAGCCAGCAATATCAAGGTTTCTCATAAGCCCTTAAGCAGCCTCCCTCTAACAGAGTGATCACAATGGAACCCTACTTTGAAACTGCTACAGAGCACCGTGAATATTTTCCTTGCATCCTCACAAAAACATAAAAGATAAATGAGAGTTCTTCACCACTGTTTCCTCCCACGCTGTCTCCTTTCCTTCCCTAGTGCTCAGCATTGAACTTAGGGACTCAGACAAACTTAGGGACCAGGCCAACACTCTACTGCCGATCTACCCCACAGCACTCCAGTTCTGTTTTACCATCTGAGAAACCAGGGCTCAGAACAGTGATAGGACCAAGGCCGCCAATTAGCAGAAACCAAGTCTCCCTCATTTAGGACCATTGCTCTTTGTTCTTTACCAGGGGTAATTTTGCCACCCAGAGAATACTTGGCAATATCCACAGATATTTTGGTTATCACTATGGTCATGGGAGTAGAGGATAGTACCATATATATCAGATAGAGGCTAGGAGGTGTTGTTAGGTACCCTAAGATACCCAGAATAGCCACAGAAAGAATGATGCTAATAATGCTGGTGACAGAGTAAAGGGCCTTTGTCTATACTATGTAATTGTCAACTCTAGAATAACTATATCAAGTAGTAATACATTAGCCATTTATTGTCCTTGGAATAAGCTAAAATCCATAAGAAGAGTTTTTATGCTCATCTCAGAAATAAGAAATTATATAGCCGCTGAGTAAGGAGACCTTTTGTTTACACACACACACACACACACACACACACACACACACATGCATACACACAAATCCTGAGATTCTGAGATCATAAATACCTTGTCCAAGGTCATATACCTAAAAAGAAGTAGATCCATGTCTCAGCCTACAGTCAGCCTTCTAAGCTCTGTGATTTATGTTTGTGAGTGTATGTGGAGATAAATGATAGATAGATAGATAGATAGATAGATAGATAGATAGATAGATAGATAGATAGATAGA